ATCAATTTAGACCAAGGAACACTGTTTTTCAGTTTATAACCCTTTACTGGTCGAAAGCCATAGCCCTGTGACAAAATGAGGTAAAGACTTCCAGATTTTGGCGTTAGTCTACTACTATTCAACTAACAAGTTCTCTGAAGAAGCAGACAGAAGATTTAAAGTGAATACAAAGAAGACAGAGGTAACGAAGATAACCAACACACAACAACAAGCACCAATCACTATTACCGAAATAAATATGAAAGAAGTTGCTTCCATCACTTATCTAGGAAGCATCCTCTCAGCTACAGCACCGATGAGGATGTCGAAGTCAAAATCATAAAGGCAAGAGAGACGCGTATCACTCTGAAATCAGTTTGGAAATCTGATGCACTAAGCATAAAGAAAAAATTCCGACTTTCAACACCAGTGTTAATTTAGTTCTTCTATATGGGTCAGGAACTTGGCACGCACGTTGCGAAAAGCATTTTCAACAACATCTGCCTTTACTCCATACTAAAGATCAGATGGCTAGCTAGAATCAGCAACAAGAAACTCTGGAAACGAACTAGCCAAGAACATATTGCCCAATATATATGCCGAAGTAAGTGGAGATGGATCGGACACACTCTGAAGAGACCAGTGAGTGACATTGCGTGCAAGGCCATCACTCGAGTGGAACCCGAATGGGAGACAACGAGTTGAACGTGAATCCTTGGGTGACATGGTTGAGACCAGATGAGGATAAGATTAGAGCCTACGGGGAATTGTGGAGCCAACTAATTTACAGAATATTTAACATTTATTGCCTATAATTCATTTTACTACTGAATTACCCGAGTCTAAGTCCTTATACAGTGATAAAAATTCGAGATATGTACTTGTTGAGAGAATTATTGAATTCCGATAGTCACATTCTTTCCCTAGAATCATTGGCCAAACTCCTACCACTAATTTTTCCACAATAATTTGCCATTGATTATTACTATTGATTCTTCTGACTTGTTACTTGTAAATTATACAGTCCGAGGGAAGAAATCATCACTGCTTCTTTTGAAAACCAAAAAATATTCAGATTACAATAATTGTGATCTGCAATCAAGAAAGAAATCGAAGTAGCATGACAAAACATACTACTGAATATTTGATATGAGCACTTGAAAACCACTTACAAGACATGACCTAATTTGCCCCCCTAAGCTGATTTGACCTGGATTACACTTCTAACTGGCTCACCAATGAACGAGGACAACGGCCATTCGAAGTTTAAATCATTCCTGTTTGCCTCACAAATGACTTTCCACTCCTCATATTAACCAATCAGTAGTATTTTATGATATTAGATAGTTGGAGGCCATCGGCAGGACGCCTTCCACCTAGGTTTCGCGTTAGTTGGTACTCACCAGTCAGTCAGCAAGGCGTATCTGCAAGCTAGAAGGAACTCATGTCCCTCTCTGCTGAGATTCGAACCCGCGTCACCCAGTGCCGCCTGAAGTCAGAGACCTTACCACTGAGCTATTCGGGCTGGCGGTTGACCTCCTGTAGGACTGTAGCGGGTATTTTTATTGGACACTAGTAACTAGTGTGACGTGCCTGACTGATAGAATTTAGTCTGCACCAAAGAAAGGACTAGACACGCGGGCAACTTCGTTCTGTAGGCAGTCACTATCGAGCACTGGATTCACATCCAAGAGCCACTTTGTAGGGATTTGAAGGGTTCTAAACTAGAAAGAAACAGCCACCCGCTACTCTGACTTTCAACGGTTGTCTATGGTTGATATCACTTCACATGACCAAATTCGTAACAAGTCAAATAATCCCTACAAAGTAACTCTTGAAAAATAATGATAGTAGAAAACAGAATACATAATTATGAAAAAGGGGAGTACTTGTTACTATAGCGACTGAGATTATTCACTGTTTCTTTTTCTGTACACAGGTTGGTTTTGAATCGCTTGATAACAATAGATTCAACAGACCGAAGTAAAAATCGATATCTTTACTTGTTACTCCATGGTAAACGCAGTTTACAAATTCACACATACATTTTCGAGAGAGTACAGAGAAGGACAGGAAGATGTGCATCGACTCGTTTCTTCGGGAATACTCCAAACATCTTATAACTCAATAGTCTCCAGTCCCTGAAAAATTCCACTAGCCGACATTAAATCGAGTCAAGACACAGTGTTTATTTCAGTCACATTTGCAATTAGCAGTGACAGTCAGTAGTTTCAACGGTAGAAAACTCACCGATCACTCAAATCGTCTGGATTCAATTCTCCACCAACACATTCTTAAACCTTGTCTGACTGGTAGTAAAGTGACGACAGAAGACAAGGGCCAGTCAACAGATCGTTTATTGAGAAAATCAACAGATATTTATAGATTTTTATGTACATTATTATCAGCGTTATTGTTAGCCGAGAAGCAACATCTTCTGACTGGTTTTCCTGTTGAAGGTTATTCTGTCATCTCTTTGTTGCCGTTTCTTAGACAGCCCATTGATATATCTGCTAATCGTATCCGGCCAAGCTAAGTCTGCTGTGATTGACTGTGGAGTTCCATCAAGGTTAGTCTTGGTTCTTGGTGTTTCTCATGACCAAGATTTGGGACGTAAACATTGAAGTAAATTGCTGTCTACCAGCTTTGGCTAGCAGACAGCTCTCACCACAGTAAAACCAGAAAAAAGAGAAGGTTGGGCCTGAGGCTAGTGAGCCCACCCTGTAAAACACAACACCACGGCTGCTGAAACCATAATGCTTGAAGTCCTCCTGTGTCCTATTCGGTAGGCAAGGCGGTGAGAAAAGAAACAAGCAGAAATAACTCTAACTCCACCTCGATTTAATGAATCTACTGATATCAGGCAACTTACACCTCAAACTAATTCATTACTCAGTTAGCCTCCTATACGAATAGTTTATCGTTTTTCTTACATAAATGATGTTGAAAACATTCAGTCTTCAGTGCTTAAAACATAAAACACGTAGATTACTTAATCGTTAGTCGTTATGAATTTCTGGTAACATCTAATTTACTTGCCTAGTTTAAAGATATATCTGTTGATGAAATATATGAAAAGGCAGTGTATACTGTGGTGAGTGCTACTTATAATCCGATATAAGTAGTATATCAGAAACGAATTCAGAAAAGTAACAATACGTTCGGCACACTGGAAAGAGCAATCAAAGAAGAGAACCATGAGAAGAATGTTGCCATGTGATGCAGAATCCAAGAAGCTATCGAATGTGATGATATTTGACCAATTCGTCAAGGATGTGGTAAATGATGTGCAAATGGCAGGTTGAAAATATGGTGTACCAAATTTAGCTATGTACAATACGTTTCACTGAAAAAACATTCCTTTCAGCCTCCTCGGTCTTTTCTTCTCTACAATACCACACACCTTATTCAGCTCGACAGTAGACTGCTCACTAAACTGAAGACGGCCATGAGTACCTGGTTAAAGTAGGAATCTGAAATATGTCAGCAAAATAATTTGCAATAGCACTGGTACATAATTCGAAACGAACCTTCTGCATGGTAGAGCTGAATTGTCTCTATATACAGACGTATGAATTGAGTTTAAGTACTTTAATAAGCATCACTGAAAATAATTCGGTGGACGGTGATTAGCAGTGGGATCTAGGATGCGCGTTTCGTTCTACTGGGAACACGTTGGCTGAGTATACCTGCATCCACCCCCCGCCAGTGAGTGATGATATTTCTGCTGAGGGAAGAACCCAGTACCCATTGTTTCAAACGCCAAAGGGTTATCTGCTGGACCACTTGGGCCACGAGAGCCCTTTCTTGTGCAACGCGTATCTGTTATTACTTAATTCAGTTTGAATCTTCCTATTGACTGACTGGACCGTAAAGAATTGAGGGTGTATCTTTGACGCACGTAAACGACGACGACCTGACCCTAGAACATGAAAATTATTCAACAGATGTCTGTACTGGAAGAAGTTCCTACGCTTCATTATTTCTTTGGGATGATTAGTTACTTACTACTCAGCTTTTCTCCTACAGTAGCATAAATCTGTTACACAAGAACCATCTGCCAATTGTCGTTCATAGAGATAAATGAAGCCATTTTGCAACTAAAGAGCACCCTCCGATCTAAATATTCGCTAAGACATTTTGCCGCAGAAGACGCTTCAGCAACAAGAATCAGTGCCACACTACCCAGTGAATTTCCTGAAGAGGACTAAAAGGCTATTACACATGTCTCTTGCCTACTCTCTGCAGCGAAAGAACGTTACACACAGATGAAGGAGGCACCTGGTTACGTCTAAGCAGTTCGAATGTTCCAGGAGATGCTATACAGCATGAAACTTCGCAAGCCTCTAATTTTTGTATTTGAGTCAAAGACAGGCATCTCAGTTCGCTCGGCAAGTAGACTGAAACGATGGGTAGTGACATTACTGAAATACGATCTCAGTAAAAAATATCATTGCGCAAAAAGACTGCTCCTCCTCACCGAATAAGCGACTATCTTTCTTCTAACAAAGAGACGGTTATTGCGGCATTGACGACAGAAAACTACGCTCAGAATTTGTTAACATGTACCACAAAGCATAGCGAAAAAGTCAGACAACAGAGAGAGAGAGATGATACTTTACAACAAGCTATAAAGTTATTCCGAAACTCTTCGCCATCATCTGTACCAAAAATCCTGACCTCAAGGCAGTTGTGCTGGTGATGAGTCCAATATACCACCGAAATGCACATCCTGAGATCCCACAACTTAGTCACCATCCACCAAATGCTAACATACTCTTCTTATGATTTTTTGGATTGCTGGCTGGATACACTCACCAGACGGTAGCCTTCAATCCTTTACACGGCTCAATAATTCGGATATATGGATATGGACATGTAAATTAGAGAAAATGTTAGCTAACCGCAAAATTCCCTAACTTAATTTCTTTTTTTCTGCAACCATGAAGAAAAGGAGAATCAACATATATGTGTGTATATATATTAAGACTGTATTTGACAAAAAAAGGGAATACACAGTGCCGAAAAGAAAGTGTATGTGCGTAAGTGAAATGCTTAAATACAAATGGACAAAATGAAAAAAAGATATTTTCCTGTTTGTTTGTAGTTATTTTTTTTTGGTTTTCCAATATAAGATTGACACACAAACATACAAGAGAGAAAAAAACACTATACTTCAATTGGTCATAATAATAATAATAGTAATGTGTGTATATATATAGAGTCTGTTTACAAGCTCACTCATGAACGAATCGTCAACATACTACGCCTACCGTCAAGAAAAAATGAAGCCAAAACGCCTTATATCAAAAGATATCTCCGTTCAATTTTTGTTTTGTTGACGAACACCCAAACTACTGAAAATATTAACAAGTAGTACAATTTGATTGACGTAAATAAACGAGCTAGAGAGAGATCGAGACAGACAGACAAAGGAATGCGGAAAAATAGAAAAAAACACTAAAAATACACTTCCTTAATATCAATAATATCAGACATATAAAAGGAAATAAAGACATAAGACAGAGAGAGAGAGAGAGAAAGAGTACACGACTTGCATACGTGTTCAAGTTAGAGGCCAGTTCATTGTTCACTTGCGCACAAGAAAAGCATCAAGAGATATCGGAGTCATGGGTACAGAGCACTGAGTGTATCGCACATTACTTTTCATCAATACAAAAAACACATTACAGGGAAGTGAAATTACGAAATAGTGTATATATATATATGTAATAGTAGTAGTATAATAATATAACACAAAATTACAAGAACGTTATACCACACACATACACGCACACAAAATTGGGACTATCCAAGATTCACAAATACAAATATGAAAAGACAAAAGGCGTAGGGAAAAAAATTGGGATACTTGGTTTTTTTTTTAATTGTTTGTTTCGTTTTGTTTACTCACTTACTTACATATATATGTGTGTATATTGATTATTTGGGTGGGGAACACTGAAAGGAAAAACAAGCCCAGAGTGTATCCGTCTACGTTGTGCCACACAACTCAATTATGAGTGGGGTAGCAGGTGAATTTGAAGGAAAAAAGAAGAAACAGGATTACATCATCATTATCATCATCATCATTATTATTGACTTGACAAGAAACTGTTGATTACTAGTAAATACGGTTTCACAGACGATTTCCATAGTTTCAATGGGTTTACTACAAAAGAAAGAGGAGAAATTAAATAATCATTAGCTCTTTGTCAAAGAATAAAACTTTCATTTAACGATAATGTTGTACAGTATTTCAGTCTATCCTTCTTTGTAGCTGCGAGATATAGAGCACATGGAAAGGCTAGTTGTCTTTGACGATATATGCTTGAGTTTTATCTCCTGTGTGTTAAAAGGTATAATATGGTCAGCAACAATGAGTGAAGCTATACCTATTGTAGAATAGCCAGAGCACATATTACTTATTGCAAGTTACCGCCCCCATCGACGAGCAAAGTTAGCTGACAGGGGAATAGGTCGGTAATTTCGGTGCGGTGAAACCAAAACCTGGTACCAATCCATGAAGTCTTTGACATCTGGTTCGAGCCAGCCGCGTAGGCAGGTGTAGACTACCTGATTGGGATGGTTAGGATGGTAAGGACCAGTGATTGGAGACCGTCGGTGATATGGCTGAGGATCCTCCTGGATGGCGCAGAGAAATTCACCCTTCATGACCTTCCATATCCATGTTGTTATTCTTTTGCTCGTACATTTATACTCATTAGAGATCTTTAGAATCTCCTCAGTCTATATTTTCTCTATTCTTCTGTGGCTGGCTGGCTGGATTCAACATAGAACTTGGCACCGAAATGCAGCAGTTCGAATTGCCACGTTCCAAATAGCACACAAAGGTAGACAAGAAGATGAGTGAAGAGAATCAATAGAGTTTTGACAAGTATAAGAGTGAAACAGAATGAGTAATGGTACAAAGGAATATGAAAGATTACAGAGACTGAATACATCTGCGTAAGCCATTGACAACGATTTTGAGCCATGTCACCTAGTGTCTCCAGTCATTGATTCTTAGAGCCCTGAGGGCCCCAACCCGGAAGTCTGAATCTCCCTACCTGACTCAGTTTAACTGTCAAGGATTTCATGGATTGATGCCATGTTTTTGTTTGGCCACCACTTACTCTTTTCCAACCTGCACCTATATCAGCTAGTAATACCCGTCGGGGGAGGCGATGGTTAGGCATGTGCAGCACGTGACTTAGCTATCTCAATCTATGTAACTTCTGTAGTGTTTATGAGTTAATCAAACATTCACCGATCAAGTGAGAATATTGAGGGCCCGCAATAAAGGCTTTATTCGTTTTATAATTCCAGTATAGAATCTGGTTTAAACAAAAATGAAAGATGTGAATAGTGTATAATATAAATGCTAAACGTTTATGAAAATGTTCACACCACAACTTCATAGCCTCGTCGATTGATTTTCCCTGTTTGCCCAACACTACGCCTAACGTCAACATTACTTACCTTATTATACCACCTAACGCGAGAAAGAGATCGTAAACATCTGTGGTCAAAAACAGACAACCCTTTCATGTCTTCAACTCGTATTGGCCATGTTTCAGAGTCATAGAGAAGGACGGAGCGAACCGCTGAGCAGTACACACGTCCCTTGGTTGATAGTCGGATGTCACGCCTACGCCAGAGACGGTGTAAGTTAGCGAAAGCAGCTCGAGCTTTTTGGATCCGTGCTGAGATTTCGTCACCAATCAATCCGTTGGTGCTGATACAACTTCCTAAGTAGGTGAAGTGGTCAACATGTTCTATCACTTCACTCCCTATCACTAAGCTAGGGGTAGACGTAGTCCAGTCCTGTAGCAGCATCTTACATTTACAGGGGCGAATCGCATGCCAAACATACGAAGATTGCTGCTCAAGGTGTTCAGAAAACTCTGCATTTTGTCAGCATCTTCCCCTAACAGGACTATGTCATCTGCATATTCTAAGTCCATAAGACTATTCCCTGGTAACAAGTCGATTCCTAAGTCGTTAAGTTCAGTTAAGGATACTTCCATTAGCATATCTATGATAAAGTTAAACAGAAAAGGGGAAAGTGGACATCCTTGACGGACACCACTGGTTGTTATCAATTCAGATGACAATTCCCCATAAGCCCTTACACGGCTACGTGAGTTTGAGTAGAGTGCCTTGATTAGTACAATGTACTTTCTTGGCACTCCCTTCACAGTCAAACATTGCCACAGTACCTCTCGATCCAGGGAGTCGAAGGCCGCCTTCAAGTCAAGAAATTCTTCTGTGCTACATGGAGTGTGACGACTTAAAATGTACTGGTTGACTGACTCACTCTACAAGTGAATGAGTTTTTAATGTGGAACTTTGCATAAAGATGCAGCATTTCAAGGTGCCGCCACACCCTACATAGCAAACATTTTCGTGATTCTGTGTATTCCGAGTGGAGAACAGAGCTTCAGGCTTTAGGCTTTTAAGTTTCAGTAACCGTACTGGTATTGTTTTACGTCATGGGGTCACTTTCCTCACGCCCAACCTTTTCTCTTTACCGGAATTACTACTACGGATTAAGCGAGGTGGTTTAGGAGTACGTCGATAGGAAATTAAACCTGGGCCACATGCAACTAAGACAAGCATTATACTTCTAAAAGCACCGATGCATATTATAGCACACCATAGTAGAGGGAAAAAATTACCAAAGAACTATATTTAACGGAAATTTACGGGAGGAACAATAAGCACATGAAGAACAAATAAGGAGAATTTAATGCATATAGGAGTTCATATGGACTGAATGCATCAGCGACATTCAGGATCATTTTGAGCCATATCATTAACAGCCTCCAAACATTTGATTCTTGTTCAGTCTTTAAAACTAAAGAAATGTAAAATTTTCATAGGGCTTTTTATTTTTTGACTAATGATGGATAGCCACAAAACAATGATAGTTTGAACTCAGTTATTCGGAACACATTTTCGATGTGCCAGGCTATGAGATACACCTAGTTGTGTGACAGTCTATTTGTCTGCCTTCTACATAAAACTTTGCACCGATGTGCAGCCGTTCGAGTCGCCACACTCCCCACATGTAGCACACAAAACAAGAGAAGAAAGTAGAAGAAATGCATAGCAGAGACAGTAGACAGGGATATGAGACAAAGGAATAGTAATAACGAAGAACAATATAGTTTCATTGGGTATTATAAGTCACAAGGAGTCGATGCATCTGAACCAGTCATTGAGAACGATTTTGAGCCATATCACCGATTGCCTCCTAGCAACCCCAACCAGGAAGTTTACATCTTCCTATGCGACTGGCTGGCTTAAACTAACTGTTGTGGATTTCATTGACTGGTGCCATGTTTTGTTTCGACCACCACTGGCTCTTTTCCAGCCTGACCCTAAGTCAGATAACATTATCCGCCGAGGAAGGCGATGGCTAGACATGCATGCATAACACACGTCCTAACCATCTCTCTCTCAATCGATGTAACTTCACAGCCTCGTCGACTGACTTCCCCGTTGTGTGACAGGGTTGATGGTACTACACAGTCGTCCAGGCTAATAAAGCTGGGGCGGGACTCGAACCCGAAAGTTATTTACTGTGAGTCAAGTGATCAAGTCAATTAGTCATATCTTCACAATATCAGAGATATTATCTAATCCATTAAACGATTGCTTTTTACTTTTGGTGATTCTATTGAGCAGTTTACAAGTCCAAAATACGCTATTGGTTAACGTTTTACACTAGAAACGGAGGAACCCATTTATTTATTTAGAAGATTCTTTTTAACAAACCGGAAGGTCCTGGGTTCGAACCTTGGTGGTGGGTGCATACTGATGAAGAGTCCCAAACTAGGCTGGTGAAACAGCTGTCCAGTACCCCCAAGGAGATTTTCCAATGGTTGTCTAACTGATGTCAGCTCATAATGAAATCCTCCAAACATTCAAATTTTCACTGTTCAAAAATGATGAATCAGGAAAAATCAATATTTACGCAGAGAAAGCAGACGAACAGAACAATAATATGAATTCCAAATAATACAGTAAGGAAACAAAATACGTAAATACACTGAAAAAATTAAAACAAAACTCACTGTAACGCACACACACACACACAACTAACCTGTATGATTTCCGATTCAAAATTTGATATGATTTGTGTACTATTGTCATCAGAGATCCCATTACTTGTTAAAGTTGAACTTTGACCTGATAAATCAATTGATAATGCTGACGACTTTATAGTTTTACCTGGAACAATGATATCCGTAGAAGCAGACGACGGGGAACAATCCGGCTTTGAAACAAATGAATTAATATCAGTAACAGGTATAGCAGTGTTAGGAATAGTAGTAACAGCATTAGTAGTATTAGTACTTCCATTAGTCAAACATTTCCCATCATTTCCCATCAAATTTTCTGCCAGCATACATGAATTATTACCACTACTACTACTATTACCATTTAACTTTTCATCTGTTTGATCTAATTTTTTCGACACTGTTGGATTAATTGAACCTGGTGAATACGGACGTTTACGATTGTGGACAGGACCATTAGGAAGTGGGAATTGTGAGGTTGGGGAAAGGTGTAGCGGTTGTAAGACAATGCCTTTGCGTGAAGCCATTGCATCGATGACATCATTTAAACTGGGTATTTTTCGTGGACGAGTCAACAAAGAGGATGGATTGTGAAGTCGTGCCAGTATGGGTTGAGCTGAAATATGGGAATAAAAAGGGAAGAAACTTAGTAACATTTTAATATAATTGTATATTGGAATATATATTCAAATGGGGACTCAAAATCATGACAGAGATTGTTAACCTGTATTGAGTTCTACATTCATTAGAAAGAACATACGCATGTAACTTCGCGGATGATTTATGTTTGATGTCACACAAAATCGAAGAATTACAAGCGAAAACCGATAAACTGCTCGAAGAAGCAGCAAAGACAGGATTCCAGGTGAACATAGAAAAGACGGAAGTCATGAAAATAACCAACCAACCAACAACAACAACAGCAACATCCAGCGCCAATCACCATCAACAGAAGGGATTTTAAAGAGAATGTCAAATCGAGGATCGGTAAGGCGAAACACATTCATCATCCTGAAACAAATCTGGAAATCTTCGTCACTCAGCATCAACAACAAAATTCCGACTTTCAATACGAACGTCAAGTCAGTTCTTCTATACGGTTCAGAAACTTGGCGGGTCACCAAGAATATCTCCGACAGGTTGCAGACCTTTATCAACAACTGTCTTCGCTCTATACTCAAGATCAGATGGCCGTAAACAATCACCAACAAGAAACTATGGGAACAAACAAAACAAGAACCAATCGCTCAACAAATATGCAAGAGAAAGTGGAGATGGATTGGACACTCGCTGAGGAGGCCGTTGGGTGACATCGCGCGTCAGGCCATAACTCGAGTGGAACCCGAAAGGGAAGCGGCGAGTGGGACGTCCAAGGGTGACATGGAGGAGATCGTGTGAAGAGGAGTTGAAACAGTATGGACTAACATGGATGCAGATGAAAAGTACAGCAGAAGACAGAAGCAAGTGGAGACGTGCAGTTGAAGCCCTATGTTCCATTAGGAACCCAAGGGAACAATAATAATAATGATAATGTAACTTCAGTCCAACTCCTTGTACAGCATCAGTCGCTTGCATCTGTGAACTGTCCAAAAGATTGAATCAACAACCATTTGAATTAATTACATTTCTAACTTAATCCGAAAGAAAGTCATTTAAGACATTGATATCAGAACAATAAAAAAAACCTACTTTGCATTTAACTACTCATAAGTAAACAAACGAGATGACCGAAAAAAAAGAGAAATTTCACCGTAGGTCTCATGACGACGAACCGAAATCAGTGTCAGAGTAAAATCATTGTAAAATAAAGAGGAAGCATTGGATTTTTGTTTTTGGTCATAATTTGAGACTCTTCACTGGTAGGCATTACCGCCACCACCATCACCACAAGTCGGGCCGAAGACCGTTAGATCTAAAGGCAAGTCGGATGACTATTCCTCCAGACAGGCTGAAATCCAATAGCATGTAAATTTTAATAATTTTTAATAATTCACAATAGAGCATGAACACCATATAATGTCATTTTATTAAATATATGCCAAAGAGACTGTAACACTACTGAACAAGAAATACCTGGTGACTCTAAACAACTTCAATTAAATAAGTCCTTTAGAGAACTGAAGTGCTTCCTACAGTGTGCGTATTATATTGTGACACTGACGATCACTTTGATTTTTGCAAAGGATGAATTATCTGCATCATATTTCACCATTCCATGGATTAGGACAGAAGTAGTACTCAAGCAGTGTAGAAATAAATCTCTACTGCACACATCATAAGGGACAAGACTCGGATTTTTCAACACCGACATCAAGTTGGTCAGTGCTTCTCTATATGGTTCAGAGATTTGGAGTGTGCGCGTTACGAAAATAATCTCCAACCAGTTGCCTTCGCTCTATACTAAAAATTAAACTAGATTACCAGCCGGAAAGGATAAGCAACTAAGAACTCAGCTGATGAACCAACTAACAAGGGGAATGGATATGGATAAGATACACACTCTGAGGAGAATGTTGAATGACACCATGTGCCAGCAGGCCCACGAATGAGAACTGGGGAAAGGAGACTACGAGTTGAGAATATGTCAGGGAAAGATGTGGAGAAGATGACGGCTTATGGGCGATTGTGAAACCAGTTAAAGAGGACTGCAGAGAGCAGAATGAGATGAAGATGCACCGTTGAAGGCGTATGCGCTCCACTTGGAACCCAGAGGGAGAAATAAAATAAAAATACTCAACCAGGATTATAGAATCACATTTAATACATATGAGAAAAACTATAATGATTGAGAACGATAGGCGAATAATTCGTGATAGAGATTTCTGTAAGTGCAATATATATTTACATGAAAGAATAATGGAAAATTAAGAGTGTAAATAAATAATAAATATTCAAGTATTGGTTTTGTAGGGATTTTGTTTGATTGCATGGAGGATTTCATCATGAGCTGACATCAGTTAGAGAACCACTGATTGGATCGGGTCCCAGAGGCTCAATGGTCTACGAGCTCACTGGCCTTGTAACCAGAAAGTCCTGGGTTCAAACCCCGTCGGCGGGTGCGTACTGCTGAAGAGTCCCAAACTAGGACGAAACCGCTGTCCAGTACTCCCTACAGGTTTCCCAGTCGTTCTCTAACTGATGTCAGCTCATGATGAAATCCTCCATGCAATCACAAATAATTAATAATCATTATTCATGCAAAAAAACATACTAACCTGCTGCTTTCAGTACTTTACACATTATCAGCATATTTCTCTCTGACAGATTGTCAATGCCAGATAAGTCTACGTCTGTGCATTCACGTAGTTGTTGTTGTTGTTTAGGTGAGAATATTTCAGGTATTCCACCAGGACGTCGAGCTAAACGCAATGGTTGAACAAGATTAGGACAGAGTATTCGCGCTAAACGAATAATCAATGGTGTTCTGAAACACTGTGTCCCTCTTGGCGTGCCAATCAGTGTACTGAAGAATCCTGATCCATCTACTGCCTTGGTGTTGTTATTATTCGTAGTTGTAGTAGCAGTAGCAGAGTTAACAATATTAGTATTATTGTTGTTGTTATGACTGGTTACAGTGTTGTCAACTGAATTCATATCGATGTCACCATCTGGTGTCTGATAAAAAAAGAAAATTACAACAAAGGAGAAAATAAGTGGGAAAGGTCAAGAAAGAACTCTAAACCTCTGAGGTGTATAATACAAAGATTAAAAAAAGGAAGAAAAATTCTCATCAAATTTGATTTTATAACACAGAAGCACCTTTTGCAATGATAAAAGGTTAAATCAAAGGCTATGGAAGTTCAAGCTGTGTAAATTCTGTTCACATGACTGCCTGACTGACTGCAGAAGAATTGAAAGATGTCGATGTACAGACATACATACATACAATCAAACACACTAACACGGAACATACATACAAACACATATATACACTTACAAAATTAGAGTATGACTGACAGGTATGATAACATGACTGGCCAAATAACAGCTATTATTGTGCATAAATGACTATGTACGTGTGTATGTATGTGTGTGTTAAACACAAAGGGGGGTGAACAAAAATCGCTCATGTATATTGAAGCATAACTACAATACTAATAGGGGGTGCAAAAGAAGAATTGATAATTTAATTTTAAAAAATAAAACGATTTAAGAAAACAACACTACACTACTTTTAAGTAGTCTGGGTATTGTGGAACTTCATAACTTGCATGTAATTTATGCATGCCAGCAGACAAAAGATATTGAGAAACACGTTACTTCTTGAGCGCACTCAAAGTGAATAAGCCATCTCATATACACATGCGGCAAGGGAAAACGCTTAACTATACTACTCAGAATTCAGACAAACGTGCAATTTTTTTGCCTTAGGAAAACTGGGACATTCAACACCAGACAGGGAGTTATATTCCCCTGGGTCTCGAATGGAATAAAGGACTTCGTCAGCGTAGTATCTCAATTTTATTCTATTCTTTGCAGCTCTTTTTAGCTAGCTCCACAACTGCACATATGACTGGAATCTTCTCCCTTACACTGAGTGTAGCAGTGGACTTCTACATAGGTTTCAGAGTGATGAAGGTCTGTCTAGCTTTCGTAGTCTTGGCTGCTAGCTTCGACATCCGCATCTATGCCACTTCAAGTTGAAATGGTATTGTCTAGGTAAGCGACACAGGTGGCTCCCTTCAAATTTCTTCCACTAGTAGTCACTGATACTTTTTGCTGCGGTTTAGGTATCTTCGTTGTGTTTCTGCCTTCTCTATGTTCACTTGGGGTCCTGCTTTGGCTGATGCTGCTGCTTCTTCTTCTAGTAACCTATTGGTTTTCGTCTGTATGTCTTCAACTCTGTGAGGAATTAGACATAAATCATCCATGAAATCCAGAGATTATTGAGAGAAATCTAAACGAAATCACCAATTTCATTCACATAAGGTAACATCGTTTCACAACTACAGGCGGCACAGACAATGATATCGAAGATAGCAGCCAAGATTCAGAAGGCATGACAAATCTTCACTGCTATAAAAGCTATGGAAATCGGCTGTATTCAGCAGAATGAACCAAATTCAAAGACTTGGGGTGTGTACACATCACGAAAAGCATTTCCAACAGGCCACTGTAGATTCTCATCAACCAACACCTACTTTCACCCGATAACTGAAGATTGTATGGTTAAAATGGATTTGTAACAATGAATTCTGTCAACAAATCAACCAGCTCCCTATTGCAGAAAAAAATATACAAAAGAAAATGGAGATGAGCAGGTGAGGTCACACATGCTGAGTGACATCACATGCTGCCAGGTCCCCGAATGGAATACAAATGACGAACGACGAGTTGGGTGTAAGGAACAGATGAAAGCTTACAGGTAGATGTGGAGCCAGGTAAAATAGACTGCAGAGAAAAGATTGAAATGCAGGTGGGCTGTTGAAGCCCTTTGTACTACAGAGAGAACCCCAGAGAATAATAATAATAATGACTATACCCAACGCGAAATGTACTAATACATTCCGGTCAGATCAAGAACACACACAGCAGAACAATTTTTTTAAATGTAGAATAATAATTCGATTGTTCAAAACGTGGTTGGTGTCGTTTAAACTAGAGATCGTGAAAGAGAAATCAAATGCAACACAACAGCGTGTATCAAACGGTGATGCTGCCTGACGGAGTACCTCCAACCTAACCAGTCCACTAAAAACAGCGAACGTTCGAAATTAACATCGAATCGCGATGTAATTATAGGCTATTAACTTTATGGATTTATTCAACCCTGAGTGTAGAGAAACTTTCAACATTTAGATTGCTAAATTATTATCTAGAGTGTAAGCTCCGTGACACTAGGGTGGCAATCAAAGTTACCTGAACGTCCTAGTTGTAGGAACAGCTAAAAATAGTTAATACAGATGAACCAATATAGGTGTGCATATACCACTAATATAGAAAGCGATAGATCACTGATCCTCTTAAACTCAAAATAAACAAGTACACCATAGATACACACTTCTAAATTGACTGACTGACTGACTGACTGGTTTCAACATAGAACTTTGCACAGATGTGCAGCAGTTTGACTCGCCACACTTCACTCAGCACACACACGCAAAATAGAGACAGTAAACAGAGATATGAGGTAAAAAGAATAGTAATATCGAAGAACAATATAGTTTCATTGGGTGTTATAAGTCACAAGGAGTGGATGCATCTGCGCCAGTCATTGAGAACGATTTTGAGCCATATCACCAATTGTCTCCAGCCTTCATTGGTGTTTACCGTCCCGAGAACCCCAACCAGTCAGGATCTGTACACCTTCCTAGGTGGCTGCCTTAAACTAACTGCTGTGGATTTCATTGACTAATGAAGCTATGTTTTGTTTTGACCACCAATGGCTCATTTTCAACTTGACACTATGTCAACTAACATTGCCCGTCGAGGAAGGCGACGGCTAGGCATGAGTAACACATGTCCTAACCATCTCAGTTGATGCAATTTCACAGCCTCGTCGATTGATTTCCCCTCCTTACCTAGCACTCGACCGATGCCTAACCTCAATATTGCTCACACTATTATACCACTTCACACGGGAGATAGAACGCAGACATCTATGATCAAACACAACTAATCTTTTCATGTCTTCCACTCTCAATGGTCAGGTCTCACAGCCATAAAGGAGGATGGAGCGGACTGTTGAGCAGTACACCCGTCCTTTGGTCGATAGCCAATCGGATATCACGTCTACGCCAGAGACGGCGTAAACTGGCATATGCCAAACTAGCCTTCTGTATCCGTGTTGAGATTTCGTCAGCGATCAACCCGCTGGCGTTGGCTAATGCAACTTCCCAAATAAGTGAGGCGGTCAACGTGCTCTACCACTTCACTCCCTATTTCTAAGCTAGGAGTCAATGTAGTCCAGTCCAGTCCTGTAGCATCATCTTACATTTGGCAGGAGCGAATCGCATGCCAAACATTCGTAGATTGCAACTCAAGGTGTTCAGAAGACTCTGTATTTTGTCAGCGTCTTCACGTAGAGGGACTTCTAAATACCCGTGTGTTTTCATCTACGATCAGTTATGCAGGTGGTTACACTAAAACAACAAATGTCTTCGTATTTACCCTGATCAGATCATATACAGATGTAATGTGAATTGTAGGACTGATCACATCATGTTCAAAATAGTGTCACAATCGTAGACTTGCAACTACTAATTCAAAGATTTCTTTCATCAACTTATTAGAACAACAGTTGTATACTCAGTTTTTAGAGCTGAGTGAGTGAATTTTCTGCGTAAAACTTTGCAGAGAAGTGAAACAGTTCAAGTTGCCACACTCCATGTAGCATAAAACAAGACAAAGGTAGGGAAAAAACTCAAAACAACTTTAATGAGAGGAACTGTTCGTCAGAATGAATAAATACACGAGAGATTAATGGAAACAGGAGATCACATAGGGTGAATGCAACTGTACCACTTATAACATCTAAAGGATCTCAGTCAGGCAGTGGACATCTCTTCCTATGTGAACAGAATCAACAATCAAAGCTTTTATGGATTGATGTCAGGTTTTTATGTGACCCCCCCCCCCCACCAAGTCTTCTCCAGCCTAATCCTATGTCAGCTCACATTAACTCGAGGAGGAAGGCAATAAACTTTACGCAAAACATAAAAGGTCCTACACACTATGCACAACTATAACCAACCAAGTTTTATTTAGAATATGACAGAAGATATAAATCGTGTGTTTGGAAGGAAAAGCAAAGGAGCTTACATCATTCACTCCACTTGGTAATCCAATAGAATGTGATTTGAACTGATGATTCACTGTACCAGTTATATTGATTGGCCCACCTGATTTTATATCTGTGTCAACTGGAATTGTACTGTTCGTTTGATGAGCACGTAGAGTTGTAACAGGACGTTCTATGAAAAGAAAGAAAGCAGAGAATGATTAGAATAACAATTAAAAAAAAATATTATTTAAATTGAAATCACTTATTTACAAGAATCAGATAAAATCTTAACGTTCAAAAGATGAGAAAAAATTGCTATACAAAATGTGATATATACCACTAAGAAACGTTAAATATGTAGTTAGCAAAAGTGTGTTTTTTATTCCTTTGCGTTCCAACTAGGATATAGGGCTGTGAAGTTTCAGTAGTGGCATTGGTGAGGCTGTTAGCCTTCGCTCTTTACCGGGCTTACTAGCGGCTGAGCAACATCTAGGAGTGCATCGGCCTGGAGTCCAGTCCGGGTCACTGAACCACCGATGCAAAAGTGTGTGTTAATCAGTCATACGGTTGGACGAACATCAAAAACGACTTTCCGATTAGAATTAATGGTCAGAGTTGAATTGGGCTGTTTTATACTAGTTAGGAAGTAATTTCTTACAGTAGTAAAGCTGACACCATGAACATCAGATGGAACATCACTGAAAGTATGTTATTCATTGATACCCGGAATTAAGTAATCCCGCTTTTAAAACTTTTATAAGTTAGCTAAGGCATAAGAGTGTATGTAACAATAAGGGTAGCATTCACTGATCACTGGGGTATAACACACTTATTGTAATTGATTTGTTACTGAACAGCAGTTCGTTTTTTCCTCCTTCATGACTATGACTAT